GACATCACTCACTGAGAAATGCAGGTACATCCAACTGACGAATCCCAAATAAGACGAAATGCGCATCCTGGATTCCACTGCTAGTCATCATCCACCAATTAAATATTAGTCTACTTTTGTTAAAATATATGTGTATATGCAATATACAATGAGTGTGTGTAGGGGTGAACAGTCATAACACATCTGTTATTCCATCTACAAGAAAACATGGATAATCGGGAATTCGATCAAGTGTGACTAGTTTTTTTTATTTTTTTTATTTTTGATGACAGCTTGATTCCACACTTTATTTTTGGTACAAGTATGGAATTTTCAGCATGGATATCGGTAGCCCAAATTTTGCAGGCCGACCATAGACATCAGATGTGCGTCGGCAGGGGATCGAAATGTTGATACATATCCAATTTTTAGAGTGTAGAGTGGTATATCTAAGTCCTAAGCTTGTTATCATCTCTAAATTTTAATTCGTCTATAAATTCATGTATCAGAGTAACCTGATAACGTGTGCCCAGATGGTTGTAGTCTTTCATACAACAAAAGAACTCTATCACGTTTTTTTAGATTGATTCTAATTATTAATAATGGATGAAATTTATTGCTACAGATAGTGGATTAGCCAATCTCTTGTGTTGATACAAATTTTGAAGTACAAGTACTCTCATCAAATTTTACTAGCTAGAAAAAATTGCCAAGGTGGAATATTTAACACGATTTACAGACAATATTAGCAGTACAATCATTGGATATAATCCCAGCATTATGATCAGTAATAATTATTCCCTTGGATTCCTGGTGGAACAAGGAACTTTGGCAGCTGTCTGTCTGACTGGTCTCAATGTAGAACTTTGCAAAAACGTTCAGCAGTTCGAGTCGCCACACTCCAGGTAGCACACAAAGCAAGAGAAGAAAGTAAAAAGAAATTCAAAATAGAGACAGTAAGCAGGGATATAAGGCAAAAAGAATAGTAATATCGAAGAACAATACAGTTTCATTGGAAATCATAAGTCACAAGGAGTGTATGCATCTATGCGATTGAGAACGATTTTGAGCCATGTCACCAATTGTTTCCAACCATTGGTTTTTACCATCCCGAGGACCCCAACCAGGAAGTCTACACCTTCCTACGTGGCTTAGACTAACTGTTGTAGATTTCATTGACTGGTGCCATGTTTTTTTTTTGACCTCCGCTAGCTCTTTTCCAGCCTGGCCCTATATCATCTAACATTGCCCGTCGAGGAAGGCGATGACTAGGCATACGTAACGCATGACCTAACCATCTCAGTCGATGTAACTTCACAACCTCGTCGATTGATTTCCCCTGCTTACCTAGAACTCGATGCCTAGCCTCAATATTGCTCAACTTATTATACCACTTCACACGTGAAATAGAACGCAGGTACCTATGATCAAAGACAGCTAATCTTTTCATGCCTTCCACTCTCAATGGCCAGGTCTCACAGCCATTAAAGAGGACGGAGTGGATTGATAAGCAGTACACCCGCCCTTTGGCTGATAGTCGGATATTATGTCTGTCTGTCTATCTGTCTGGATTCAACATAGAACTTGGCACCGAAGTGCACCAGTTCGAGTTGCCACGTCCAAATAGCACACAGAGGTAGACAAGAAGATGAGTGAAGAGAATCAATAGAGTTTGACAAGTATAAGAGTGAAACAGAATGGGTAATGGTAGAAAGGAATATGAAAGATTACAGAGACTGAATACATCTGCGCCATTGACAACGATTTTGAGCCATGTCACCTATTGTCTCCAGCCATTGATTCCTAGAGTCCCGAGGGCCCCAACCCGGGAGTCTGCATCTCCCTACCTGACTCAGTTTAACTGTCAAGGATTTCATGGATTGATGAGGCCATGTTTTTGTTTGGCCACCACTGGCTCTTTTCCAACCTTCACCTATATCAGCTAGTAATGCCCGTCGGGGGAGGCGGTGGTTAGGCATGCGCAGCACGTGACCTAGCCATCTTAGTCTATGTAACTTTATAGCCTCGTCGATTGATTTTCCCTCTTTGCCCAACACTCTACGCCTAACGTCAACATTACTTACCTTATTAAACCACCTAACGTGAGACAGAGATCGCAGACATCTATGATCGAAAGCAGTCAACCTTTTCATGTCTTCAACGCGTATTGGCCATGTTTCAGAGCCATAGAGAAGGACGGAGCGAACTGATGAGCAGTACACACGTCCCTTGGTTGATAACCGGATGTCACGCCTACGCCAGAGATGGTGTAAGTCAGCGAAAGCAGCTCGAGCTTTTCGGATCCGTGCTGAGATTTCATCGCCAATCAGTCCGTTGGTGCTAATACAACTTCCCAAATAGGTGAAGTGGTCAACATGTTCTATCACTTCACTCCCTATCACTAAGTTAGGAGTTGACGTAGTCCAGTCCTGTAGCAGCATCTTACATTTTGCAGGGGCGAATCGCATGCCAAACATACGAAGATTGCTGCTCAAGGTGTTCAGAAGACTCTGCATTTTGTCAGCATCCTCCCCTAACAGGACTATGTCATCTGCATATTCTAAGTCCATAAGACTATTCCCTGGTAACAAGTCGATTCCTAAGTCATTACGTTCAGTTAAGGATACTTCCATCAGCATATCTATGATGAAGTTAAACAGAAATGGGGAAAGTGGACATCCCTGTCGGACACCACTGGTTGTTACCAATTCAGATGACAATTCCCCATAAGCCCTTACACGACTACGTGAGTTTGAATAGAGTGCCTTGATTAGTGCAATGTACTTTCTTGGCACTCCCTTCACAGTCAGACATTGCCATAGTACCTTTCGATCCACGGAGTCGAAGGCCGCCTTCAAGTCAAGAAATATGACAATTGTTGGACGCCGAAAAGTGTGTCTATGTTCTAGAATCTGTCGAAGAGTGAAGATATGATCTATGCACCCTCTACCTGGTCTAAAGCCTGCTTGATTTTCCCTTGTCTGTTCCTCCCGAGTTCTGCTTAGTCTATGCATGATTACTGAGCCTAGGATTTTAGAGACTATGTTCGTTAGGCTGATCCCCCTATGATTATCACACGAGGACTTGTTTCCCTTCTTGAATATCGGTATAATAAGTGACTTACCCCAGTCTGATGGCACTGTCTCTGATTCCCAGACTTTGCCTAGTACCTCAGTTAATCTACAAACTAGTATGTCACCCCCATATTTAAACACCTCCGGAATAATTCCGTCGGGTCCTGCCGCTTTGCCTCGTTTCAAATTACTGATAGCTTTTGTGACCTCACTTACAGACGGCGGACCAGTGTCTATATCCCATTCGGGTGTGTCTGGATGGCGGGGAGGTTCAGTGTGGCTGTAGGCAAGTTAAATTGTCCTCAAAGTGTTCTTTCCAGCGTTCAAGGCGTCTATCCTGAGAGCTAATTAAGGAGCCATTTTTCTCAGAAATAGTCTCACTTATGATTTGCCTTCTCCCACCCGTTTCCCTGATGAGTCTAAAGAGTTGCCTAGTGTTGCCTATCGCCGATGCTTTTTCCATCTCTTTTGCCTTTGTCACCCACCACTGTTCACGGTCCTTGCGGAGACTTTTAGTAAGTTTCCTTTTGTGCAGCTTTCGCTCCTCATTGAATTCGGAGCTCGCCGGAATCAGTCTTCTTGCGTCAATCAGTTCGGATGAGGCGGTGGAGATCCAATGGCTTTTACTAACTTTATGTTTTAGCTTATTGACAGATTTTACGGCTGTGTCTACAGCTAACTGTATGCTGTGCCAGGCTACCTCAGGGGAAGTCCTGCTGTCGACCTCAGCAACTCGCTTCGCTATTTCTTCCGTAAATAAGGACTCAGTGTCTCGATCTAGTTGAGGACGTAACTGTTTCGCTGCCGTCAATTTCTTATGTCCATTTAGTTGTAAGCATAAACGTGCGCGGACCAGATCGTGATCAGAGTCTACGCACGTGTTACAGAAGGAGCGACAGTCTTCTACTGACCCTCGCCAACAATACCCTATGGCTATGTGGTCTATTTGTGTCCAGCGTTGGTTTGATGATGGGGGTCACCAGGTCAAACAGTGTCTCTCCTTGTGTTTGAAGTTAGTGCTTACAAGAAACAGATAACTTTGGCAGCACATCACCATTTATCTCTATTCTCTTCAGGTCTATTTTAGGTGGCTCTACAGTTTTCTATAAGTTTTCATTTTCTCCTACTCACCGTTTCCCAGTCGAGTCCCACTCAGGAACATGGCGCGTGACGTCGCTCAACGGCCTCTTCAGTTCATATCCAAATCACCGTCATTTTCTTCTGCATATTTGTTGGGATATAGGTTCCTGGTCGGTTCGTTGCCAGAGTTTCTTTTTGCCCTTTCTATCCTTTCCTGTTAGCCAAATGGCCATCACTATCGAACGAAGGCTGTTGTTGTTGATGAAAGTCTGCAGTAGCTCGTTGTGAATGCTTTTGGTGTTGCATCAAGTCATCGAAAGAAGACACATTGACTGGACTGGCTTCCTGAAAGTTTTCACCAGCCTGTGTCATCTCATCTCTCCGATCCCAGCGTAGAATAATTTTATTTTTATATTCTTCTGTGTTCTGGGATGGGACGCTAGTCCCATGCCCAATCTTCCTTCTTTCTCCTGACTCAGAATCAGCGAGTAAATTAATAAACCAAACGAAGTAACCCTAAATTAAATCAACCTGAGTACATCAATAATAAGCTGAGAAGCTCCCCTCGGGTGTTGAAATCACGGCGATTGGAATGTCAAGGATAACAAATTGATATGAGTAGTTATTAACTTCACTTGCAAGTTAGTAAAATAGAATATTGTCAATAAAAATGTTCTTAAAACTGAACAATAGTTTTTGCTACATTTCTGGACTAGAATTTATTAACGATAGAACTGAATAAACTCAACTTATAGATGTGAAATGTTCACATCATTTAAGTGTCAGGATAGGCTGGATTGAATTTTAATTTATTGTCACCAAAATATTTTTTTTAGTTTCACATATTTTTATTTTCCGATTATTTAGCCGTACATTGAACTACTTAAATCATTCAGAAATGTTTTTACGGAGATTTTAGTTTTCAAAGATTCCAATGTGTATTCTTATCCAGGTTTACTATCAAGTAAGTGAATGTATTGTTTTGTTATACATATAATATCCTTATACCTGTTATTCTTCATGCGCGCCTACCTAATTTTTCATTTTTAACACTAATGTAGGTTAAATGGTGTAAAACGTGTGGGTCAGGTAGACTCTTACGTTCTCAAAAAGTGGTAATAGGTATTGGTTGGAGAATTTCAGTGATGACATCGTTTAAAATCTGTCAGAATGCATAGATGTGCTCCTCGAAGGTTCCAGTGCTTCGGTTAGACACGTTACTCTTGAACTATTTTTACTCACGAATAACCTCATGCAGGACTACTGTAATGAGTACATTGATCTGTCACGTAGGAACAGCTGATATGTTGGCACTCTGCTTAAACTATTGAGCCGGCTGATTTTCTCTCTTACAAATTTTCCCCATTTAAAAAAAATCTATTTCAACCATTCAGGTATATCCTAAAGTTGCAAATGTACTCCCGCACACTTTTAATTGATTTCCACTCTACTATTTTGCATTTCTTGAAGGATACGAAGAAAAAATATCATAAGGAGTTGATTTTTGTTTCATATCGAACATTTATGCATTATGTGGTTTGCTGTCGATTTCTATGTTGCCTGAAAATCTTCAGCGAAGAATAAATATTATGCAAAATCAAAACAAGTGATTCAGCGAAGAGACTCTTAACAACGAATTTATTATCAAGCTGTGTGCATACCTACACATATACAAGTCGTATATATGTGATTTTCAAAAATAGTAATGGGAATTGCGACAAAGTATTTGTAGTGATAATCGTAGTTAAACACCAAGCGACAAACATGAGTAGGTTATGTACTTTATAAAAAACTTCATTGGACGTATAAATTTTAGAAGGGGATGTAGAATTAATAAGATTGGTAGGCAATTAAAACATTATTCAACAAGGTCAGAATTACGAAATGAAAATAAGTAAAGATGACAATTTAGACAATATTGGAAATTTTTCAGGCTGAAAATAATTATAACAATCGAAATGATAAGGGACGGACATGCAGGTTGAATAAAAAAACGAAAAATAAAAATAGGGCCAAAGTAGGAGTGGGGATTATAAAAATTTAATATAGATGGATTAGAACAATGAAAGAAGGAGTGGTTGAAAAAAAACTATTTACGTTTACAAAGGCTTGACTTTTCCTATTTGACGGCCAAAGTCTGCAATACTGATAATTTGGATACCGAATGGATATGTAGTCGAATAATGTCTGCTTTGTTTTGCCAGTGTGATATATTTTGCTATACGTATATTGACCGTCACTAAACAATATATCTTGTCTGTCCATTAACTAACTAAACAATGTATGATCTTTGTCACATGACATTACAACCAATCAGAATCCAGTGTTGGAAGAAAAACTACTCTGTCTTATTGGTTCATGTGTAATTAATAGTGTTCTCTGAGCTGGTTGGTTTAGTTGCGAAGCTTTCGCCGTCCTTCTGGACAACATCTTCAGCGCAATATCTAACATAAAGTGAAATGATTTAAATTTCGTCATGAGTGACATAATTGCGTCTCCCGGTAACCATCTTTACATATGTGTCAACCATTTTTTATTGACTTGAATTTTAAATAATAATAATAATGATAATAGTATCAGCTTTATTTCAAACAGTATTTGTGGTACAGGTATGGAATTTTCAGCGTGCATTACAATATATTGCATCTAATTACCTCATAAATTTTATAAGATTTTTAAAGTCAAAAAATAAATAAATAAATAAAAACCAACTCCAAAAAAGATAAATAAAAAGAAAGCGTAGCGTTTACATTTCAAACAATGCACCAAAGGATATGAAATATAAAGTTGATGTGTGATAGAAGATAAGAACAACAGTGTAATAGTAACGAGGAAAGAAAAACAAAAACTAATGGGACTATTTGTTAGAGTGCCGCAGTAAGTTTATCGTGTCATACCTAACGGATTTCTCATCACATAACAGCTGTGCCAGATATGGTATTGTGAAGTTTTTGTATTTGGTAGTCCTAGCATATAGCCTCCTATAGCTGCTTCTAGTTCTACCAGATGAAATGCAAGGAGAGAGCTGCGCATAGAGAGGATATTTGGAGTCTGACGATATTGTATTCGCTAGTTTCTTACATGACATGATATGTCTATCCACAATAGTGTTAACCAGTTGGTTTAACGATATCCCACTTGTCCTGCTAACGGCTTTTAGTGCCATTCTCAGCAAAGCAAAGTTTTCCTTAAGTAGTCCAGGAAAGGTTAATGGGGAGCAGTAAAGGGGGATTGGTAGAATACAAGAATTGACAAACTGAGAAAGCAAAGACTGCTTTATGCCAGATTGCTTAAATTTCCTAACGTGGAACGTTAAGCGAAACATCTTTCTAGTAACTAGCAAGATGTGGGAGGACCAGGAAAGATCGGTGGAAAAACTCAGCCCACGGTACTTGACATTATATGTATTTCCAACCTATGTGCCGTCAATGATAGTGGGGCCGTGTGAGCTAACTATTTGTTGTAGGTCACGTTTACGTCTGAAAGTGAAATTGACTACCTGACATTTAGACGGATTAAGACCGTTTGAAGAGGACCACTGACTAGTTTCCGACAGAAAGTTATTTAATTTGGAACAATCTGACTGAGAGTTGACAGGCATAGAAACAGAGAGGTTATCGGCATACTAAACAGAAGTGGCTACATCAGAATGAGGCAAGTCATGTAAGAAAAACGAAAACAGAAAAGCAGAAAGAACAGCACCTTGAGGAACACCAGCTAAAGTAAGTGAGGTAGTGGAGGACTTTCTATTGTAGACGGTGTACTGCTTCCTATCAGAAAAATAGGAATGCAACCACTTATTTGTCCAGCTCTCAGCCTGTGTTGCAGCAAGCTTACTTAGCAAGAGAGACCTGGGAACAGAGTCAAATGCAGATGTGTAATCAAGGAAGGCACAGCGAACGTATTTAGCTCCTTTATCTAAACTAGATACTATATTATGATGTAGGACAACAGCGGCATCTAACGTACACCTACTATGTTTATAGGAAAACTGGCTGGGGTCGTTGAAAGGCTTTAAAGAGGGTTCAAGATTGAGTAAAATAAGTCTTTCCATAACTTTCAAAAAAGGTGAGGTAATAGCAATGGGTCCACTTGTTGATTTAGGCACCGGAACGATCTTGATAATTTCCATGATTCAGGTATAATACTTTTGGAAAACGATTCGTTGAAAATGTCAGTTAATGGGAAACACAAGATGTCAGCACACTTCTTGAGGATAACAGCAGGAACACCATCAGGACGGAGGGACTGAGTAGGTTTGAGAGATTGAAGACACTTGAGGACATCATTCGTGCTAAAGCATGAGAAGCAGTCATTATTTACACTATTTGGGTTAGGAATCATAACATTTGCTGGGATACATATGAAGGATTCATTAAGCATGTTAACATCTACAGAAATATCATTCATCATTTACTTACCACCTGTGATTTCCTTTAATAACTTCCACATATTAGATGGAAATTTACATGAAAGAAACTTCTGGTTATAGAGAGCATTCAATCTTTGTGATTCAAGCTTAATCAAAGTGTTCATTCTCTTAACACCAGATTTGTTTTTCATTTTGAACAACCTTTCTTTTTCACGGCGGAGCTTTTTGAGTTGAGAAGAGGAGAAGCGATCGAATTTTAAGAAGATTGTCTCTTTTGGACAACAAACATCAAGACAAAAATTAAGAAAATGTGTTATGTTGGTAATTGTGTTATCAAGAGCTTGTTCAGTAAACTTTCTGGTCACCCGATTTACTTTTTATTAGTAGGTATATATGGTCTATATTAACGTCTTTGTTAATAGCATATTCTTTTGAGTACCAGGCTTCTAGAAATTCCCTGACTGCACTTTTGGTGTTTCCTCTGTCTAAGATTTCGACATTATCCCTATCAAACTGATGTCCATAATTGTCTACATGTATTGATACTAAAGAATATATATCGTGTCTTTTCCCGGCTGATTTGCGTTCTTGGATTCTAATTCGAACGGGACGCACACCTTGGCAGATGTAATGCTTGTTACAGTTCATACAATTTATTTTGTAGATGGTATTAATTTTATCCCCTTTTTCTGTTGGATCTTTCGGTTTGCATAATATTGAACTAAGCGATTTGACTAGCTTGTGTGCTGTATTTATACCAAACAGTTGTGTTATTTTTTTTTCTATATGCTCTTGTATTGTACGGTTAATTCACATTCTTTCGTACTTTCATACTTTTTCACTCACACTCATGTGACAGTTAATTTTCCTTGTTGGGAAATACATGTACCTATTCGTGAACGTGGGGGTCTTCTGATTGTCCTCTTCGCGTCAGGATAAATTAATTACTTAGCAATACCAGTCTGTACGTTATCGTACGTTATATCTCATTAGCGCATATTTCCACTCGGTCACACCATAATATTGGCGACGACACCATAACAGTGATGATTTTGGTAGGTTAATTTTTTCGTGATAGATAACTTTAAAGGAAGAGGTTGTGGAAATGTTGTGATCAGTATCGACCAGATGTTCAATTATTGCTCTCCTCATAGCCCTCTTTCACCTCTTCGTAACCAAGCAGGAAACTGTTCTTGCACCATGTCGAACGACTGATATAAATATAAATGTATCGAGAATAACATGGAGTGTGTAAACTTTTTGTCCAGAATAAAGCTATTACTATTACTACTATGCTGAATTCTGTCAGCTAAACTCCAGTCCACGGCATACTGCTGATGATAACCTCCAGGAATCTAATGATAATACAAAAAGTGCTCCGGAATGGCCAGTCTCCTAACTTGGTAAAATTCAGTCAGTACCACTAAAGTCTAGACAAGCTAGACACTGCTTGTTACTCTATAAGTAACCAAGCCATGTATAATATAATTCATTATAAATCATTTAAATTAATCCCAGCGTGTTAAGAAAATCAAAACAAGATTTTTCTGAACGTTTTGCTGTGTAAGCCACAGCTTCTTCGGCAGATTTATTCGGATTTTTATTAATCATCAAAATTTATCGTCAAAAATTTTTACATATTATATATATATATATATATATAGCTGTAGAACCTGGAAAAAAAGAAATTATCCAAAAGAATAACGTTATTTGTTCACCAGTCTGAGTCTTTCGAAATTTCTAATAGACTAGCTTTAATCAATCTTATTGTAGGTGAAAATCAACAAATCACTACTAATAAATCAGAATTATATCAAGATTTATTATTGTGGGTACTACGTGAACGACAATCAGATTTTCCAAAATTATCCACTTCTGATTTATGGGAATTTGCTTCAAGTGGATTAGGGAATATAAATTTTAACCTGGATAATATGCATAATAACAGTAATTCAATTTTATCGCCCTATCCAGTGTCTTCTAATGTAAATTCAATAAGGGTGTATAGAAATTATCGTTTAATTGGATTATTCACCGTAGATCAACTACTAGTAGAGGATAGTTTCCCGTCTAGGTAAGCTGTGTTTTCTCCTAATGAATGGTTACTATTTTCTTGATATAAGAATAAAACTTGTGCACTGTGGTAGAGTGTAATTCCATTATGGGTAAATTTTGTTTTGATAAAGTCTCACAGCGTTATACAGTAATGTTTACTGATGACGTTTCGAGCACAATTTATTGCTCATAATCACATCAAGGTGATATGATTATGAGCAATAAATTGTGCTCGAAACGTCATCAGTAAACATTACTGTATAACGCTGTGAGACTTTATCAAAACAAAATTTACCCATAATGGAATTACTATTTTCTTATTGTTAACAATTTTTGTTATCTCAAATTACATGATGCTACATACTGATTAATGGATTGATACGAGCGGTTGTATACCCCACTCACATCAGCTAATAGTGCTTGCTAGCCAGTCTGGTCTAATTGATATAAACTTCGGACTGCCGTTTCGCGCGTTTGGGGATGATCTCATCAGCAAAGTGCCCGGTTTGATTCAGTTCAAACCACCAGATTCTGCTTAGCTATTTACTTGTACGAACTGGGAATTCTCAATTTGCAAATTAATTCGCGATTTCCAGTTTATGCAGTTCGAAGAGGTGAGATTTCACCACAATTTTCTTTGAAATCTTAAAATAATTAGATCGTAATATGGTGTTCTATTTGATACCATAAATAGTCACGAAAGGAAGTATAATTGCATTGTGCTGTGTACTTCCATTTGTCTGGTCAACACTGCTGGTTGATGGTATCCAACTGCTCACATCGAACAATCAGTAGCTTACAACAACATGCAAGTATGCTTGCTTCCTTGACTACTACTTAAGATATCAAGAAGAACACATTGTAACCTGAATAACTTTGGTTTTCAAAGTAAAATGGTAAAATTCTGTGGCGTGTATACCTGACAGGATTTATCTGTAGTATGTAAATAGACATTCGTCGGCACAAAAGCGTTGTGGCAAAACATGGGAGATACGATAAGAAGACAAAGAATCACAATACAAAGGAAGGGCAGAAGTAGCACAACACGGAAGATCTGTGCAACTGATGGACTTCATACATGGAATGCATAATTTTTTTTTTTGATTTACAGCTTGATTCCACACCGTATTTTGGTACAAGTATGGAATTTTCAGCATGGATATCGGTAGCCCAAATTTTGCAGGCCGACCATAGCTATCAGGTGTGCGCCGGCGTGGGCTCGAACCCCGGACCATATGCATGGTCGGCGAGAGTCCTAACCACTGTGCCACCGACGCACATACGTGCATATCAAACTGCAAATAGGCATTCAAGTTTCTTGTCATCTGCCGTTACAATCTCGCCTTGAACTTTGTAAATTGGAAATAGGGAATTAATTTGCGAATTTTGTTTTGTTAAATTTAACAGTATTTTACTGACTTATCTATATATAAGTAACTTCAACTGAGTGGTTTCAGAGGAGGAGTAAAGATTTTAATAGACAATTTTTATGATAATTTGTTTATTTCTTATGAATGTCATTTGTATTCAATGTATGGAAGTGTGGCTTAAGTATTTGAATTCACAGTTCAAACTGTACTACATCTACTTCATTCTAGACAAATGGGTTAGTGGCATAAGCCTTTACATATCGAATGTGATTTATATTACAAGCAAAAATATAGTGGGCAGATGAAAAGTTTTATTAGATTTTAAAATGTGTAAAAGCCAGCTTCATAATCCTACTTCACTTACCACAGTCATGGCGACTAGGTTTTGTCATCAACCCTCATTCAATATGTGCCTCATACCCCTGGTACGTGAAAACTGGTCCGGGTAATAGAGGTAATTAAACCACCTTATATTCCAAATATGCTCATACATTATAACATTTGTGTCTATGGAACTGCAGCCCGATTAGTCTAGGCTGCTGAACGGACTCTGACCCTGCCCCACCTGTCATGGTTTTTACAGTCAGGTAGTAAGGATCACTAGCCCTCACTCATTGTTGACTGCAAGTGATTGTTGAGTAACACTTCACATTTATTTGTGCCAACTGCTGGGTGATGTATCATTCTTGGTCATTTCAATGACTGACGTGGTAATCTTTCTGTCGAATTTATTCGATGATTTGTTTTTGTGCACGTAAATCTCTGATTGAAGTGTCAGAACTTTTCAGGCCTATGATAAATTAAAACCCTTATTAAAATTTGATATGCTTTTTGTTATTTCTTCTTATCGATTGACCGTAACAGCCTCTTGTCATTTGAATATGAATGACTTAAGCAGAGTATATTTGGTCACACTCACGATTTTATGTATTGTCAGTTCGTAGCTAGTTCCAATTCTAGTTGTTTGAACTGATTTATTCTGCAAGCTGAATAAATCCAAGAAAACTGTTAATGAGATTGGTTTTATAACGAATGAAATGACCGTTCGGGGTTTAAATAGCTTCAATCTGGATAAGAAGCACTACTGATTATTTGTGTGATCGATTTCCAGCAACTCATGACAACCGGTCATCAGTGTATATCAAAGTGTAGTTGTTTTTTACTTCCGTCAGGATTTTAGTAACTAAACTGAACTGCATGCACCTCCTTTTCCATTACTCTGTTGAAAGAATTTTTCACAATGTACATGCTTTTTAGTGAATTTCATTTGACATCTGAACATTAGTATACTTAGTAATAAGGTAGGGAATTGAAATACCAAGTGGTTTATTGTGTACTCATTTTTTGAAACACAAACTTGGCACATTATGGACATCAAGAGGTACACCACACAAAATCTCATGGTTTGTGCTAAGTCTGGGATACTGACCGGACACCAAGACTGAAGCAGATGGTTGTCTTTTAAAGGGCCGAACTCCGAGCCGTTGAAGTTTGATCCACAAGGCCGAGGGTCAGCGTCAAGAGTAATGTTCCCACAGTTACTGGTGACTAAAACAGGTTCATAATAAATTGTATCTTTCCGTCTTTTGGATCCTATTAACACTATAGGTTCAGAATCAGAGTTTTCCAGTTCCCCTTGGTACACTTCCATGTTCAACACTCCTGTTGTAACTGCCAGATATTCGCATTTACATTTGAAACACTCCCATCGCGTGAAGGCAGTGAGTAGAATTTATGCGGTAGAGGATATGAAGCGTGGCCACATGACTATTTCGATAGGAAGACTGCAGTCTACCCACCCTTGGTTGTGTTGTGAACTTTTCTTATAATACGTATCTAATCATATTCATATCTCTACCGCTATTAACACTCTTTTTTCCCTCTATACGTTTAAGCCATTCCTGCTTCATTGTAAAATGAATAAAGCCTAAATTCTTGGTTCATTCGTCTTTTCAAGATTCAAGCATCACTCATCGTTTTAAGACTCAGTCACCTTCGTAAGAGGCTGTACCAGGTCGTTTTGGTTGGGGGGGGGCTGGTTTATTCTTATTCAATGACTGCATATTCCCAACTAAGCATCGATACTGAATGCATTCAGTGTAATACATTATTACGTTTTTTTCTTTCACGTTCCCCAGTGGAACATAGGGCTTCAAGCTAATGGCTTGAAGTTACTGTAGCAGTGTTTATTTTACAGTATGGGGTTGCTAGCCTGATACCCAACCTTCCCTCTTTACCAGCATTATTTCTGGCCTAGCGAGGTAAAGGAGTGCGTCGGCCGGGGATGGGACCTCGGACCATGTGCAGGATCGGCGAGCGTCCTAACCGCTATGCCACCGACGCACTTGGATTCATTTAAGGTTATTGTATTTCTAATCTATGGAAGGCATTCAACTGATTTCCCTTCTTTATTTTAAAATAGGGTGTTGAAATTTGGACAAACATTGGCATTGAGACGTTTGCCGCATATAATAAGGTAAGGCGTATTTTAATATCTCTGTGCATATCTGCCGCGTAATTTTCGACAAATTTAAAATGGTAAAATTGAAGTGCTTATAACTATATATGTTTTTTTTATCAGACATTATGACCAGTCTGTGAAGTCGCTGATTGTTAGTTAGTTAGAGTTGCTTAGGATGACGGAAGTGAATGGTTGTATGGTGTAATTCAAGAGTTAGTAAAATTTAGAAACGAAACGCAGGCGACTGCAGTAGATAGATATATTTGGTCATATCTACTAAATTGTGCGTCGGTGGCACAGTGGTTAGGACTCTCGCCGACCATGCATATGGTCCGGGGTTCGAGCCCACGCCGGCGCACACCTGATATCTATGGTCGGCCTGCGAATTTCGGGCTACCGATATCCATGCTGAAAATTCCATACTTGTACCAAAAATACAGTGTGGAATCAAGCTGTAATCAAAAATAAAAATAAATAAATAAATAAACAATTACAGTCGGTGATAGTACCAGCTGCATCCGCGATGAGCAATGTTAACTGACATGGGGTCGAATTTATAAGGAATCAGGGATAGCTAAACTAAAACATGGAATCGGTCCATGAATTTTTCGAATGTCCGTTTGAGCTACGTATGGAAGTGCTAGCCTACCTGGTCTGGGTCCTTGGGGTACTAAGAACCGATGGCTGGAGGCAATAGATGATTTGGGTCAAAAGTATTCTCAATGGCGCAGATGCATCTGGTATTTTTGATCTACTAGATCCATTAAGCCCTCATGTTTTCTCATGTTCGAGAATTTCAGCTCATTATAGTTTTCTTCAATCTCTTTTTTCCTTCTTTTCTCCTCGTTTGCGTATTGCACGGAATGTGGTTACTTAAACTTCACTTCTGTACAAATTTCTATAGTGAAACTCAATCTATCAGCATACTGAATCCAATCGTCTGTAAGTTGTGAGATAGTAGAGTTACTCACTTTGATTACTGAGAATATTGCTCAATAGGTTGTGTTGTTGTCTGTTTAACTTGTTTTATTCTATGACATTCTCTTTTTTATTGATTTACGAAACCATAATCAGTATAAGTGATAACAATGATACTGAAATCAGTTAATGCTAGATGGTATAAATTAAGTGCTGTTGAAGTTTGAAATATTATCATTTTTACTGAGTATTGTTGTATGCATGGAGATATAGCAGTTATTGTTCGTAAATCGATTTAAACAGCATATTATTATTATACCCTTGGGTACCAAGTGGAACAAAAGGAAAATTTCCATTTTTCCTGTTCTCTGTAGTCCTTTTTGGCTGTCTCCATGGTTCGCCATCAACTTTGTTTTCCTCACACGAACCCCTCCCTCTGCAAGTTGTATAAATGTTTGGGTATTATTTTTATCGAAAGATAGCAAGAGAATTTCTAGAAGTCTGATGTTCAAACTCAGCTTCAGTTAACAGACTTTGGAACGTCTATAGTCTACTTAGGAAGAAAAACAGTCGTTCACCAACCAAGCAGATCATTGAGAAAGCACAACAACGAAAACAGAATCACTCTCACATGACATAATGAAAAAATCTAGGTTCGAAAGGCTGTGGAGTAAAAACCTCATTTACAATTAGTCAAGATGAAATAAAAGAAATGTAAGTGTAGAATTTGGGCGCATTGGTAGAATATAATGACTTATGAGATGGGTTTATCTGATATGTAACTCAGTGGTTTAGTTTTAATAAATGGCCTACGTTTGCAGCTTTATTTGTCGATTATAATCATACCAATGTATTCACATGACTTAATAATTTGCTTCACATATTTTACATACCTGTTTTTTATTGCCACTTTCCATACATCCGGTATAGGCATTGCCTAAATATATCACTTTTAATGCTTTTACCTTATCCCACCCTCTTGTCCATTTATATGCAAGCGAATGCATTGCAATGCAACTTAGCAGGATCAGTCGTTCTTGATCTAATTCAATTCCTATGTTCCGACAATCTGATTGACTTCACAGTCATTACATGGTATTTGGTAAAATATATGTCAGTCTTCTTAATTGGATCAATCGAGTCCTTATGCCGGCAAAATGTCTCTGAGTGAGTGTATCGGTTTGAATACTAGCAGCCTCATTAAGGAAGTGCAACAGCGCACTACAAAAAAAATCACTCTTGCAAGTCATAGTAAAAAATCTAGGGAGAAAGGACTCCAAAACGATAATTTCTTCCCTGATCTACTATTTTTTCATTCCTTCGCGTCCCAAGTGTAACATAGGGCTTTAAGCTTTAAAATTTGATTGGCTTTGCTTTTGTCTTTACAAGGTGAGGTTACTAGCCTCACACGCAACATTCCCTCTTTTCCGGGCTTACTACCTCCTTCCGAACCAGGTGGTTAAGGAATGGGTGGACCGGAAATCAAACCTAGACCTCCTGCGTGCCAGGCGGTCATTCTGTCATTAAACCACTGTGATCCCGTAACTTACTAAGGTAAAATTGTATCATAGATCTCTATCTATGAGGGAATTCATCAATGTGCATAGTTAAATCACACACTATAAGAGTTTATACGTAAAATATTTTCTTTTGTAAATTGATGTGTCGATTATACTGAATCAAATAACTTTGAAAGTATGTTATGAGTCTCCTCCTTTTAATTGTGTTTCTCATTAGAGTTGTTGGCGAGCAGAGCGCTTAACATGTCATAAACATCTCAGAGGGTAAAAGTTCGTCTGGGCATAAAAAGGTGAATAATGCCCTCAACACATGTTATGGTCTAATCTAGTAGTCTTTTCTTTCTTTGTTTAATGTCTTGCAGTTGGTTTTGTTTCTGCATCAAAGAAGAATTCATTCCCAGGTTCTTTCCGACACTGAAAGACAGCAAAACATCCGTTCTCTTACTATTCTACAGCGTATATGTAGTACTTAGTGCTCCCACTATGTTATAATTTAAACCATACATTTTTGAAATCGTTTACTTGTTGATTAATAGCTTGAGCATTTTAAGATGCATTAACAAAAAAATTTGCACTGTTTATGACAATAAAGTTTAGAAAGACGAAATACACTTTGAACTCTAAGTTAATATAATCGTGTATCTGTTCTCGTATTTGCGTTGACCAGCCGTTTGTTTTGTTATTTAGTCAGTGGTTGTCTTAAAAAGACGCGATGAATTCGAGTCTAATTGATTATAGATATTTTCAAGTGTTAGCTTGCAAGGATTTATACTGATTTCAAACACGGTGACAAACTTAATATCATTTTGAAAACTATTGAATGAATCTGGGGATTAATAGACGGCTGTTTCTTCCTAGTCTTAGAATGACTACATTATGAAATTGCCTAAAGTTCTAATGAGAAATAGTGACCAGTGAAGCCCAATAAGTTGGATTTGAGGATAAACGACATGGGCTGATTGTCGTGCTACATATCCTGAAGTTAGAATTGATGGGCCATTGGATTCTGTCCTGGTAACTGAATGGTCGACGGGCTGGTTTCGTAACCTGCAGGTCATGGGTATGTATTCCTGAATAGTCTCAAAGGAGAGTGAAACAGCTGTCCAAGACTCCCTGATGGTTTTCAGCGGTTGTCTAAGTGATGTCACTCCGCGATGCCACTTAAGTATGTATATGTACTTGTAATCTATGATAGCACTTGGATTATCTTAACTAGCAGATTTACTTAGGTTAACTCATTTAGTTCCATGTATGCGTATATATGTCCTTACATTTTACAACAGTCTATGTTTGTTTAGCAAAATATCCGTCTTTATGTATATTTTTATCTTCAGGTATTTTCAACTTGCATGGACTGATGACATTGAAGCTTTAGAAGATTTAGCTATGGGAGTAATATCTACGCCTAATTTTATTGTTGTAGATCCTCTTACTCGAGAATTATTTATGTATCTATCAAATCATTATTCATCTCATTCCTTATTACTTGATGAAAGTAATCTTATCAACTTTCTTATGCTTGTTAATGATGGCAAAGTTAAGGTAAGTTCGAAATAATCTTGTGATGTGACTTTATTTGTGTCATTTTGATTACAATATGATTTGAAAATATTAAAACATTTTTAGAAAACAAAAATATGTTATGATGGTTAACATTATTAATTGTATCAAGAGGTCCATTGTGTTAGCGTGTGTGTGTGTGGCTGGCTGCGTGGGTTTAGGCGACTGTTTCCCAAATGCCTAAAAGTCAATAGTATTTATCTTATAGCTTTAACGTTTTACTTACTAATTTTTATAATGTTCCTTTGTTTTAGTTTCAATAATGTGGATTTATAAAGGGAACTCTGTTAATATATCTCAAGCCAAAACTTATACTTGTTTAAAAAGTTGTTGTATTCCTTATGCTAATATTCCGTCTAACCAGCTAGGTCGTATTTCAGCGCTTTAAACCAATTTGAACTGAACTGTACACTGCTGGTAAGCTTTTCACTAAACAACCAACACAGCTATCTGATAGTTGGATAACTCGAATCTGATTAGTCAGTTTGTTGGTTGTTGGGTGTCAGTGGAAATTGTGCTAGAAAACAGCCTTAAAATAAGAATACAGTCTCACAGAGCAAAAACATTTTGCTTTGAAGAGACTTTGGAAGCAGAAATTAAACTGATTAAAGATTATCTGAGTAATGATGAAATCCATCATTGAGATGCTGTAAATCGGAGTGCAACGGTCCGGTTCTAGTTAATTCTGTGTGGAAGCAAATAAATGAAAACAATGGAAAAATGGTTGTCTACCAGGATAGTTATATGCGTACCGGGGAGTTGACTAAAAGCCTTTTACAGGTGGAACATAGGGCTTCAGCAGAAAATCCCGATTTCGTCATGTTTTTTGAAGTCACCTCCACGAGTGCTCATAGTCTATCATCTCCTCCTCACACCATTTCCTCCATGTCGCCTTCAGACGCTCAACTTGTCCATCTGCTTTCGCGTTCCACTCAAGAGCCTGGTGTGTCCAATCCATCTTCATTTCCTTCGACATGTTTGTTCTAAATTGTAGTTATTCCCCATTTCAATTAGTTTTTGAATGATTACTTTTTTCTGATGCTCCACCTTAATCTCTTTTATGGCATAAATCTAGAATATGTAGTTGATTCCCGGTTTCCTGCTTGGTTGTGAGCTTTAATATTTGAGTGGAAAATGATAAACTTCAGGAACAACTTTTTGAATATTACTAACTTGGTAGAGTATTTTTTATATAACCATCTCACTTTTATGGTGTATCACATAAACTCTACGCGAAATTTAAAGGTAAAGAATGCACGGGGATATAGTGAATAATAACTCCGTGTACTTCTGATTCATTGATATTAGTAGTTCGACACCACTCATATCATCCAGTTGTGTTCGCTAGCCAGCTAGATCATGGTAACCTAAACATTTATCAGCCTCACTCTTTTGAAGCAGAGCTGACCAGCTACGTATCCGGTTTGGCTCAGCTCACAGAGGAAATGGCATCCAACTACCTGTACCAATCAATCAGTAGTATGCTGCAGCATGTAATTATTTTTGCTTTCTTAATTGCCATTTATGGTATCAAGCAGATCACATATTGTGATCTCAACAATTTCAGTTTATAAATGAAACTGCTTTGAAATTCTACCTTGAACTGTGAAAATTGGAAATCTCGAATTAATTTGGTAGTTGGGAATTTTATGGTTCAGTGTATTCGTGATTGTTTAAGTGGTATACGGCTATTGAACAGTGGTGTATGCTATTTATGTGACAGCAGATGCAAGTAGTGGTAGTAGCAGTATATGGTGTAATTTTTTTGGAAAAGCAATGACATTTTACTCGTAACTGAATAGCTGCCGTGGAGGAGACGCAGAACAGAGGATAATAGAGTAAGTGACGAGTACTGAAGGAATGCATACATCCAGTAGGCTGATGATAAACGACATATTGATAATCTATTCAGATACGTTAGAATAAGTGTCTACAAATACTATTTCATTCATAATCCTGTCTTTTGAGTCATCACTTAGCTAAATGTCTTATACTGTCAGACCCTCTAGTACAGAATGGCTTACAATATTTGCACATGGTGAGAGATACAAAATTCACTTGGGTGTTGTTTGTAATTTTGGCTCATAGCCAGCGCATCTGTCCTTTTCAAGTTGTGTTCTTTACAGCAGTAGTCAGTTCATCATGTAAAGTCATATTTTGATTTCCACTTCGTTTGAAGTTAAGCTTATATATATATAACATCAAGTGCTAATATCCTCTACTACTGCTTAGAATGTAATATTGGGTCGAATGATGAATGAATTCAAACTAAAATTATTGTTACAAAAACACACTATCAGCTCTTGGAATACTTGAAACAGAAAGAGAGTTAGTGCTGCGTGACCGTAGAGCCCAGGGAACAACTGCTTGAAGCCGGTCACACACAGCCTGTAAGAACTGGCGTTCTGGTTTGGTTCGTATTAGTAACTTACCGCCGGTTACGGACCACTGTAGGGTAAGTCGGGATGTACAATTTTCGGGGTCGACCTTTTATAACCCCATCTCTCCAGAGTGGAGAGACAGAATAGCTGGCATACTGGCCATCTGAGGGAAACAACTTACTGCTGTTACATTCCTACTCCCCAGCCTACTGACCCCCAGCATAGTGTAAAAGCAAAATGTCTTACACTATGCCGGTAACTGCTTTTAGTCTAATCGCTATCCTAACAATCTTCCTGGGGTAGTAGGATTTGCAGGACCATTAATTCTAACCAGTATAGCTTGTTGAGTAATTGTGATATACAAGTCCAATCACCACATCATAGTAGCAACTATCAGTCGGGTGTAGACTTCGTGTTTTGGATCCGCGGGATGGCTAGAGACAATTGATGACGTTGCTTAAAATCGTCCTCAAAGGCTTAGATGCATTCACTCTTTGTGATTTATAATATCCAATAAAATTCTGTTGTTCTTCCACAATATTGTTGTTTCGCCTCCCGTTCATGTTTATTGTCTCTCTTCTCTTGCTTTGTGTGCTACATGGAGTGTGGCAACTCGAACCGCTGCACATCTATGCAAAGTTCTACGTTGAAACCAGTCAGTCACTTTATCAGCTTGTCAATTTTGTGATATTTGTAGCGCTTATAAAACAGCATATTATGTGGTATATGCAATTAGTTTAATAGCAAAATGACAAGCAAGCTGTTATTTCATCTGTTCATATATATTAACTAATGGGTAGTTTTGACGGCCTACAACCAAACTGTTGCCAGTGTTATTTTATGCTACTTTTTCATTAGTTCTTTTGTATTTGTTTCACTATTAATATTACCATTTTTAATTATGATTTTGACTGCATTATTATGATACCTTATTTTACCATACTAAATATAAAGGCTGTCGGAGGTAATACAATCTCAGTAAGATTACAGCGCTTGGGATACAATTTCGTAACAGGTGTCATTGTAAGTATAACAGTAATTAATTTAATTCTTGTATTATTTTAAACATGGTGGCAGCTGACGAAGTTTCAGTTAAATAATTTATTTGATTAAAAATGTCCATTATAGATTTTAACTGATTAAAAATGCCCATTCAAATTTTAAAAAGAATGGTTACTGAACAAAAAAAATACTCTTTCCGATAACTTCATAATCAGGTTCTACATTTATATATACATTGTAGTGAATGAATTAGTGTTATGAATAACATGAATGCTGTTTAAATAACATCGAATCAATAATATCAATAGATTGCAGTTCAATAGGAGTTCATTACAGCATTACAGTTCAATACACTGAATATAAAAAAATAAGGAAAGATAATACAAATTCATGAATTTATAGTCTTTAATGAAGGCCAGGGCAGTAGTAGTGGCTGGACTTGCTTCTTTTGCACACAAAGCACTGGTTGTTTTATGCGCATTGCGATAACCTCTGCTGTTTGAAGCATGCGGTACTTCAATTTTTTTGGCAATTTATTTGACACCCGGTAGGTGATAGAGAAGGATTCTTCAGTGCTGGCTTAGTGGCTGGTTTGGACCAGATTGTTTAATAACGAATTGTTGATGGTTTTTACTACACCTTCACTTAGCCATACTGGGAGATGTTCTCGAGCACGAAAAATCAAGTTCCTAAAGCAACGACTGATATAACCTGCTCCACAAGCGCAGTTGAATTGGTAGATACAATTGGAAGTGGCTAGTCTAGGTGCTTCACTTTCCAATCGAGGAATCACTATCTGTCATGTAGAAAATAAGAGGTGTAGTTTGTCAGCATTAAAACTTCTTTGAACTGATTTTCTTAATTTTTCGTAATTATATCGCCCTTGAATTTCGGTCGTATGTATGAAGGCATCTTGTTTACAGATAGTGAGCAGTCCTTTTCCGCTTTCTTTTTCATGTGTTTCTTGGTAAATTTGTCGGGATAGCTATTTTCAACCAAGGTATCTTACACCAATGCTTAATTCATCTTCAATTACTTCTTCTCAGCATATAGCTATAACCCTGTGGCTGAGGGTCTTTATTAAATTTCTTTTGTACTGGAGACGAACGAAGCTGTGTAAATGTGTATATTGTCCTGTCCATATGCTTTACTTGTGCAGATTTCTTTTGATGCTACCATCGAGTTTTCTTGTAAAGAGGACATCCAGGAAGGCAATTCTGTTTCAGTACTCCTCTTCGCACGTGAATTGCATAACAGAATGTACTTCATTGAATTCAGTTATTATTGTGTTCCTATCCGAATCATTATCACAAAGAATAAAGGTGTCATCCACATACTGGCAATAAAATGAGAGCTTTCTGGTAAGGCTGTTTAGAGGTCCATTTTCTAGTTTACTTAGAAAGAAATCTGCCAAAATGGGACCCAGTGGGGAAAAATTGAGATTAGTCAACAAAGGGCATCATTCTTTTCGATAACTTTGTATCCATAACTTTTGAATTTCAGTCACGTATTGAAATGGCTTTTTGTTTACAGAAACGAACATCTTTTTTTTACTTGCTTGACCATATGTTTTATTCTGTACTTTTCTGGACAGCTATTCTCAATTAAAGTGCCATATACAGTCGTTAGTTTATTTTCAGTCGCATCTTGTGAATGCTTAGCTGTGACCTTGTAGCTACGTGTTCACACCAGATTTGTTTTGTACACCAAAAGAAGGAAGTTATGGGAATATGCATATTATCCTTTGCATATACTCTCTTGTTAATTTTTTCTTAGATTGCAGTCTGAGGAGGCAGTTTTACTCTAGGATTCTTTTCGCATTTGGATGTAGTCTTATTTAAACACATTAATGTTGTTGATAGCAATAATTCTGTATCTCCTGTAGGTATTATATAGTTGTAGAAGCTGATGTAGAAATTATTGAAAAGTGTATCTTTTTTATTCACTAACCAGTCTTTTAAAACACTAATATGCATAATATGAATTATTATTTTTGTATAAAAAAGTGTAAATATAATTAAAGCTTCTATTCCATAGTCATGTCATCTGGTGTTCTAAAAAACCTCTTATTTTTTGTGCGCACATTTCTACTGAATGACTGATTCAGAGAATTTACAAACTTAACGAAGTTGCCCTGTCAATTGATTCCAAGATTTCTGTACAAAGCTGCATTATTTTTCAAAGTTATTGATAAATAGGTCTGTAGGTGACTGACTACCTATACCGTGGTTAGTAGGCTTTTTCCTTGTTGTACGTGAATAAATTAAAGGGTTAGTTTTTTGTAACTGAATAGCTTGTTGGATTTCTTCAATTGTGCAGCTTTAGTTTATTGATCTTAGTTTTCGGCTTCCGACCGGTAGTGGGTTATGGATTCAAATCCTGTTCCATCCACTGAGTTTCGGTCAGTCAGTGCCACTGACCCTCACTCATACAATAGGTGTGACACATTGCCTCAGTTGCGTGAAACTACAAGTGGTTGTTCCATCTCTTCTTTAGGTTATCCACGCAAGGCTTATTTTTAATGGTACTAGGATTTGTGCTGTATTGTCCGTACGAAGAACCTCACTAAAGTTCTGCAAAGCCATGTGTTGATAATGATTGATTGACTGACTGTATTATATTGATTTTATCAACGTATATACATACCTGGCAACTGCAGTGGCTATCTCTTTTAAATATTATGGTCCATTTTCGATACACCTTTTTAACAGGATTAAATCTAACTAGAGGAAATCGAATTTTTATTAAAAGCAACATAAATAATCTGTAAACTTTTCGTGTTCATGCTAATAATTCACTTGTATGTATTATTTATTTGTTTCATTTATTATTGCCTTTACACAATGAATTAGAAATTCCTTATAACACGACCATTCATGGCCATGTTAGTTTTTGGCGTCCCAATAATTATGCTCAGTGGGATCATTTACTTATGTTGCTGCTTAGATACCGATTATGCTAACTACGGTGATGATTATAATGACAATGAGGAGGCTTGTGATAAACAGTTATCCGGTCGAAAAGTCAATAAAAACATTAACGATTCTACTGATTCAATTATTGATACAGATTCAAGTTATGTAACCACGAACGATCATCAGGCAGGAATAAATGTTCGTTCGCGTAATATTAAAACATTTTCGTCCTCTTCTAACCATCGTTATCGAGCACTGCATCCTGGTCGGAAAATTCTAAATATGGGTGAGTAACTTGCATTTTATTTTTCTTCTTGTAAAATTAAGTGTTGATTACATCGGGGAATGACTGAAGGAATTACCTGGGCTGTTGTATGATTCTGAGTAAAGGTCGCTGGATTATTAGTTTATCTCCTTTGTGGCTATGAGAGGAGGGTCGTCGAAAGATGTGAAAGGGCTATCTGTCTTTAACCATGGATATTTGGGTTCTGTCTCTAGTATAATATGGTGAGTAATTTTGATGTTGAGTGGAAAGTGATTGATAAGAGGAACAAGTTATTTGATGAGGTTGTGAAGCTACATCAATTGAGATTACTAGTACATGTGTGACGTATCCTGAATCATTGCTTTCCCTAATGAGTAGTGCTAACTGACATATGATTAGGTTGAAAACCATGAGAGGTTGCGAAACCAAAACATGGAGTCGGTCGATGAGGTCTTTGACTGTTGCTTTAGGCCATATTAAGAGGTATAGATTGTCTGGTTGGGATATGGCGCAGTCGTTTCCAATGGAACAGATCCATTCACTCTTTTTAGTCTTCCAGACTCATGAAGCCCTGCTCGTTTCTGCTCATTACATCTGTTTTGAATTTCCTCTGCTTTATGTGCTACATGGAGTGTGGCAAATTGAACTTCTGTGTTGAAACGCAGTCACCCAAAACTTTGTTTGTTGTCAAGCCAATTGAGCGCAACCATAACATTCTTTCCATCTGAATGGTCGATTAGTTGTTAGCCTTTCATCATGATAAAATTGGCTTGTAACCTGCGTAGCTGAACTGTATCATGAATTGTGGAACAGTAAAGTGATCATTTTGAAATGTTACGCACCTAGTCTGAATCCCTAACGTGTCGTAAACTAGGACGAGACAGCTAACTACTGCATCATAGATTCTAATTGTTCTCTAACTGATTTCATCGATATATATAGTTGGGAAAGTTCGTGTGTTGAGCTTCTCTGATAGGAAGTGGCCAAAACCCAATTAAACAGGGGTGAAGTAGAAATTGAAAAAGTAAACCATTAAGCCAAAGTAGGATATTTATTATGGTGAAATTAGCCAATCTAGAAGCTCGATCGCATGCAAGCAGTATAAATTGGTTATCTGTTAGCTTTACTTTCCGGGGTACGTGATATTCGTAGTGTACTTTCGTATAATAAAGTTGAATTGTTCTCACTGATATAGATCAGCTTGTCTTTTGTTTTCATAAGCTTTGGGGGTCAGATGTAATCGGTGATAGACATTAGCATCGGACACATAAATCAACGGTATTTATTTTATCATTTTTACCTATCATGACTTCATGGATTTAAAATATACGCTACTCTATGTAGTAAAAGCTTTCAACTGCGATAGAACGACAGCATAGATCACTATTTCTCTCCTCTACTTTGATCTATCCAGAATAATTGACATGAAATATTTATTTATTTACGAATTATTTATTTATTTTAATCTATTCATACTACTTACACATTTCAGGTCCTGTCTATTCAGAAGAAGAATTAAGAAAAAGAATTAAAGATTGTCGTGCGAAAAAAGAGAAATAAAAGATTGATGATAGGCAGGTGTCACTGTCAACATTCAATCATGGTGACTTAATCACGTGCACACACATAAATACACTGGCGCACTTAAAAGAGATTGACACACATTATTAACACATTATATTCTGTATGCATTATAACAATGTCTCTTGTTTCTCATTTTAAAAATACACTAATGTCAAATAATATTGAATAAATTGTACTCAATAATATATCATGACACATTTAACTGCTTCTTTGTTTTATCATTTCTGTAGGTGATAATCTGTGTGCTTTTCTATTATTGTGTATTGCTCTTTTATTCGTACTTTCTATTTGTTATCAGTGTTGATTTTTCTTTTCTTGTCTATAGATTACTAATTTGTTCAGATGTTTGGGTGGCGTTTTTAAAATTCGTTTGCATTCTCAGTGGACTATTAGGCGTCAAACTGAAATAAGTGGAATCAACTCATCTGCAGGACCTAGTTACGTCATTTCTCCTCCTCCAGTAATGGTGTTTCGTTTATTGACGTAAGCATTCGATATTCAAACCGGCCGGTCTTAGGTCCAATCACAGCTTCATGTATTCCAGACTGGCTAACGCTATAAGGTGGAACTTTGTTCAAGGAGCCTATGCGCGTTAAATACGCTTGCTGAAAGCCATACCTGTGGTAGGTGCTAGAAATACTACTGGCTACTTAAATTTTGGTAGGTGGAGAGAAGTTCGAACTTTCGACAGTCCTAGTACCTAGTCTAGTGAGCCATAGTGGCAAGAGAATTATCACATCACCAGTCACATCTGATGCTTAAGTGAACAAAATATTTTGTGATACAGAGTGATTAGAATATTCATTCAGTAAGCAAACCACTTCATGTATTATTCATATCATCACTAGTATTTTTAAGAATAGAATGAAAAAAGTCTACATTTTTGGTATTTGTTGACCTTTAGCTGACTTCAGATCTTGTAAATATTTCTTCAACAATCTCATTTCTTGTGATTTAAGCTTCCCAGGTTGATCACCTTCGCCATTCTTGATTATTTTTCTGCCAAATTTCAACTGAAATAAAACAAATACATAGTTGGTTAGTTACATACTACTACTAATAATAATAATAATAATAATAATAGTGGTTTAATAGTGACTGGCTGAATTTCAGCGTGGAACTTTACAGAGAAGTGTAGCAGCTCAAGTTACTGCACTTTATGTAGCACACATAGGTAAGAAAAGCAAAGAAAAACATTCGAAGGAATTATAATGATCAGAAATGTACATGAAAGAGAATATTTACATGATAAAATATGACGATTTAATAGATCCAGAAAATCTCAAAAAGTGATTACGTCGGCGCCACCGAAAACGGTTTTGAGCCAACAGTCTGCAGGCATTGATTATTAGTATCCCAAGGACCGGGACTAGGGAGTTTACGCCTCCCTACGTGACTCAAAGCAACAGTCAAAGACCTCATAGACTGATTCTATGTTTTGGTTTGTCCACCCCTAACTCCTTTCCAACCAGACCCTATGTCAGGTAACATTGCTTTTCATGCGCAACATATATCCTCGTAATGTTGCTTCGATTAATTTCCCTTCTTTACTTAACACTCTACGCCTAACCTCAATATTCCTCATCAGAATCATTAAAATTTAGGATACACAGTGACAGTTGTTTGGCGTTTTTTTCTCCGAATTTTTTAAATTCTCGATCAAAAATGATTTTGAAAATTCCTGGAACACTAGAAAAGTTGCCATCCATACGACAGTGCATTGTCACCATTGGAAATCCTAAACCTTAAATGACTTGAATGTCTCTTCTCAGTTGAATAAAACCTTAATGCAACTGATTTCAACATCGTTTAGTAGTCACAGTTCATTCAACCCCCAATGATGTTGGCTAATTTATAACTCGGATTACGCTTCACTGCATAAGCTCATTTGAGGTTGACAGCTATACAAAAACAGCGAAATTATTATTTCTTTTGTAATATTATGGAGAAATTATTAATTGATTTCGTGTGAAAAAATCATTACCTTCCTACGTAATGATAGTGTGAAAGGGTTTAACAAATTTCTGACACTTTTTATATCACCATTCATTGGGATAAAGAAGTAGCCAGTCGAAAAATCCTATTAAGTGCGATGAAATGTTCCTTCTGGATGTCACAGTTTTGGTTTTGTACATAGTTATTATGAAAGTAATACGAGTGAATACACAGGTAGTCGCTATTACTCTATCTCTAAAACTAGTTTCCACGTGCCGGTCTAAAGATGAAATGAATCACAGGTGCACAAAAATGAGGAACACAAATAGTCGCTCACCTTTGGATTTACGTTAAGAATTTGTTCAGGTGTATAAGGCTGAAAGTCCAGCTTAGTTACAGAATAACAATCAAGTTTTATTGATGGTCTGGTGTAAGGTGGTGCTTCATGTTTAAATGACTTTGGATTGCACTGTAATTTAGGAAGAAAACAATATACTAGTTAGGATTAGGTCAACAAAATTAAGGAGACACCAGGATTGGTAAGGGAACCGGTTAGGATTAGGTTGTTTTTTTTTACTAGATGAAGGCTAAGCTTATTGTTGAGTTAAGCATCCGAATCTGCTTTTGAGCCCAGCGTCGCTGCTGTATTCGTGGATCGCTTCTCTTTAATTTTACCGATTACACTTGGCAGAAGATATGACAAGGGTACTGTAGCTGTCTTCATTCAATTGCTGACTTTGTAGAGAGCAACGTGATAAGTCTTAATAAGATTAGGTTTTTTACTTTCCATTTTGTATGCAGGAAAGCACTATCCATACGTCTTCAATGTATGAACAAAACAAAAAAGTTTACTAACCTTAACATCATGTCTTTGAAACTGATCACGTTGTTCGGTATGAAAATAGCGTTCATTTGTCTGGTGTAGTTGAATTTGTGCTTTAGGAGGTTGACAAGGTTGTACAACATTAGAATACATAGGGTTGACGCTATTCCATGCACGTTCTGGTGGGAAGTCCGCATGAAATTGAGTTTCTCCATAAAATGGTTTAGTTGCGCAAGGTTTTGGAACATTTGATATCTGAAGTAAAAAAATGAAGTAAATGTTTAAGAGATGCTTAGTCTGTGTAGACAAATATCTAATTTTCCTTCGCATTGAATGGAAGGTATGGCTTCAATTAGCGCAAACATATCTTTCAATTCAAATAAAATAACTTCACGAAACTGAAGTATCTACTAAATGAAGGCTAACTGTTTCAGAAATGAGGAATTACTTTCCAATGAAACCTAATAGTTTTTATTGTACCACCTCTTGTGCGTTACACTCTATAATATTTGAGGGGAATTTTCAAATTTAGCTATATATGTGGGATTGAAACTTACTTTTTGGGTCTCAAATCGCAGTCAGTAGTGTGCTGAGTGGTTACTTTCGAGGTCGTTCTTGTTTGAATTCTCCTAAGAATCTGATTTCCAGTCACCTTCACTCATATTCCTTCTTAGAATGTTTTGTAAATGTAGTGTTGGAGCGTTTTATAAATATGAAAGCTTTTGAATCCAGATTCATCCGTCTTCTGTAAATAAATGTCGAACGTTCCTACCATATTTTCAGAATATAATTCTTGCGCTCCCTAGTAAACCTATTAGGACAAAATATTTAGAGCGAACAATTGTTTTCAACAAATTCTTCTTCAGGCTGTACAATTATAAATCCACTAATTTAAGCATACCATAGCCAGTAAAGGCAAATTAGAAACATATCAGAAAGTGTATTGTGGAACAAGTATGAGATGGGATGAAACAATAGTCATATAATTTTTTAGTATGCATGGTCAGTGAGAACATGGGGCAAAATGAGATGAAGTAATTTAATTTAATGATGTGTGTGTATATATAAAAATATAGTCAACAGAAAATACAGGTTTCGAGAGTGAATGTAATCAGGGTGTGAGACAATATGAAAATAAATCAACGAATGGTGTGGTCTAGGCAAGGTTGAAAATAACAGCAATAAGAAAGATTGTAAAATAATAACGACGATATGATGTAAAATTACAAGCACTATTGGTGAATGATTGTAAAATAATAATAATGAAGTGGAATGATCAGGATTTTGTAAATGCGATAGCAAGTTAGAAAAGCACTACTTAAACCTAAGGTAATAAAATCATAAGAAAGGTCATGAAATCATAAAAGTCGAAAATGAACGTTTGTCAATGAAAAGAAAATTGTGAAAGGAATTTATAGTGTTTATGGAGGATTTGTTGGCTTTATTGTAGGCCAAGGTAAACATAGAGGTTGAAAATACTTCTGTATGCAAAGAGATGGTCTTCTGGTATTAATTGCCACCGCTTCAGCTACTGAGAGAAGACGTAGTCGAGCTCCTCTAGATAAATTACTAGGAACACACCATTAAATTAAATTACTTCATCTCATTTTGCCCCATGTTCTCACTGACCATGCATGCTAAAAAATTATATGACTATTGTTTCATCCCATCTCATACTTGTTCCACAATACACTTTCTGATATGTTTCTAATTTGCCTTTACTGGCTATGGTATGCTTAAATTAGTGGATTTATAATTGTACAGCCTGAAGAAGAATTTGTTGAAAACAATTGTTCGCTCTAAATATTTTGTTCTGAATAAATTATGGGAATATTCAATTTACTGAAACTTATTAGGGTCGTATTTTCATAGAAGAAATTTTAAAAGGTTGGTTTCTTTGATGTTATTATCTCGTCACCAGTTGATATGACCGAGTGAAGTTTTGCATGGGTACAATAATACTGACACAATGGACAAATCAACGGATACGCCTAGTTGTCCTTGGTACCTTCTACTACTTCGCTGAGCCACGCAGATATCAACAGACAATGACAGGCCTGTGACTTCTGGGGTGAGAAAAATTTGGCTAGGTCAGTGGAAAATGGATTGTTTTGATCGGTTGGCGATTGGCCCAGGACCAAGGTAAGAAAAAGATGAAGTTTTACAGTAAGGCCAAGGTCATTTGACTGTGCGTCGGTGGCACAGTGGTTAGGACTCTCGCCGACCATTCACATGGTCCGAGGTTCGATCCCCTGCCGACGCACACCTGATATCTATGGTCGGCTTGCAATTTGGGCTACCAATATCTATGCTGAATATCCCATACTTGTACCACAAAAATACAGTGTGGAATCAAGCTGTAATCAAAAATAAAAAAATAATAAAATGATTTTCGCTGCATCCTATACACTATATAGATTTCTAAGATTGTCGTTGCAAACCTGCAGTGTATATGGGCTCCCGAATGCGAAAGGATCGAATGGCATTGTCCATTTCATGTCGGATCTTGGTAAATTGACCTCTGGAGACGACCATCTTCTAGGCGTTGCATGGCAATGTCAAGGAAATGGAACTTTCCACCATTTTCATGTTCCATAGTAAATTCAATATTTGTAATCTGAGTAGATAGGAAGCATGAGTTTCATTGTTGCACACTACAAATGTGTCATCGATATATTGATAGTAGGAAGTTGTTTCGTCAACTGCATGCTTCAACTTTGTTTTCTCAAGGTTGGACTTGAAGATATTTGCTAAAACAGGGCTAAGTGGACTTCCCATAGGTACATCACCTGTTTGGTGGTAAAGAGTGTTGTCAAAGTAGAAACTCACATCCATGGTATACATTAACAGTAAACTTTCGAATTCCAACTATAGGAGTGG